TTCCACTGCCTCCCACAGTTTGGTCAAACTCATGCTGGTAGCTTTGAGAACACTATCCAACCATCTCGTCCTCTGTTGTCCCCTTCTCCTTGTGCCCTCCATCTTTCCCAGCATCAGGGTCTTTTCCAGGGAGTCTTCTCTTCTCATGAGGTGGCCAAAGTATTGGAGCCTCAGCTTCAGTATACATTAGTACATAAAATCATATTCACTCAAATGACTGGAGGAAAATGGAAAGTTAGCACGATAAGGTACAGATAAATTATACCACCACACCATCATGTGTATGGAAGAAGTCAGGGGCTAATCCTATGAACTGCAGCAGCAACCATAGCTCACATATCTGAACACAAGGGTCATCCAAATATTGGAGCAAAGCCATGAATGGTAGATTTGCACTGACAAGACCCCAACTACTGCTGCACTAAAAGGGGGGGGGAATGGATTTCTGAGTCCAACACGGTGCAATGGTGTTGCAGAAGGGCATTTGTGACACAATTCAAGGAAGCAGAGAAGGGATGAGCAAGTTACAGTGCTATGGAGAAATCTTTAGGATTGGACTTCTTGTTGATCAGAGTATGGATACTGTGAATTAGACGGCATTTCATAAATTAGGCTATACTGTACAACAACAAACTGAATTTCCCAGGTTCTACATTCCCTGGTGCTGAAGTCTGCCCTGGCTTTTTCTTTCCATGCTGCAGTTTCAGGGCACATTTGGTGCTAATGGTTTGTAATTTGCCCAACAGGAACAGGAACATTTCCCTCTGGTAACATTTGTAAACAGAAATAAAGCCACTAGTTTATGGTTTGCCTCAAAAACACTCCAATCCTTGTGTATTGTGCTGTGGGCTGTAGTAAGTAACCAAGACCAGTGATAAAAAGAAACTGCCAGTGTGTGTGTGTGTGTGTGTGTGTGTGTGTGTGTGTGTGTGTACGTTTTTAGAGATAAGGCTTTAAAAACTAGGCTATGTGGATTTCCATGGTATAGCAGCCCAGCCAGAAATGGCTTTTCTCATCTTAACAACTAGTTATCTGGTGCTTTTTAGTTTCACTTATTTCAATGTTCTGTTGCATTTTAGTGTTCGGAGCCATAAGGATGCACTGAAACTTATGAAGCCTGACATTTTAACTATCTCATTGTAGCATGATTCATCTCAATTTGCTTTCTTCTAAAATGTAGCCCGGAAGAAATGCAGGCTGGAACCAGCTTTTTGGACTCATTCTAAAACCATGAGCTGCTTTAAAAGAACACAGTAGCAGCTCATTTGCAGACAGAGTTTACTTACTATGGGGCTGATCCTGCTCCAGGTGATTAAAATAAAATGAATTATTTTAAACTTCTGCTGAACTCCATAGGAGCATTTGGGAAATAATTCATCTTCAGTTGGGTCCAACTAAGGCATGGGGAAGATGCTTAGAGTAACACAGAGGGGAAGCAGCACAGCAACAAATAAATACAAATGAAATGGAACACCTAAAACTGGAGCATCAATACCACTCACTGTGACAAATGTCTCATTATTATTATTATTATTTTGCATGTTAAGTGATGCTCTTGTGCCATTTTCTCCTTGTGTATTCTGGTATCAGCCTCCATATATCTGTTAAGTTGCTTTGATTTCTCAGGGCTTGCAGAACAAAAGGGGATGAATTAAATGCCCCTCCCAGTAGTAATATTTTAAAAATATACCAGTTATAAAAATATTTTTTTAAAAAAACCCTGGTCACTTGTTTATTTCTAGATAAAAATAAAAATGACCAGGTGATTCTGGGAAGAATGACAAAAATGCAGATGATTGATTTGAAACTCTGCAACCCATCTTTTAAAGTTGCTAATGTGATCAATACAAAGGTCCATAAAGGTAAAGGTAAAGGGACCCCTGACCATTAGGTCTAGTCGTGACCGACTCTGGGGTTGCGGCGCTCATCTCGCTTTATTGGCCAAGGAAGCCGACGTACAGCTTCCGGGTCATGTGGCCAGCATGACTAAGCCGCTTCTGGCGAACCAGAGCAGCGCACGGAAACGCCATTTACCTTCCCGCCAGAGCGGTACCTATTTATCTACTTGCACTTTGACGTGCATTAGAACTGCTAGGTTGGCAGGAGCAGGGACCGAGCAACGGGAGCTCACCCTGTCGCAGGGATTCGAACCGCCAACCTTCTGATCAGCAAGTCCTAGGCTCTGTGGTTTAACCCACAGTGCCCCCTGCGTCCCTTTACAAAGGTCCATATCCAGCTACAAAAGATTAGGGACTTACATACTTAATTCTGCCTTCCCGAACCTGATATCCTCCAGATATTATTGACTACAGTTCCTAAGGTAGGGAAGGTTCTTGAGGCTAGCCCATTGCACCTGAGCTATGTGTTTCGGGGTCCTAGAAAATGGGCCAAGAAAGCCTCCCTACTGACTGGAAGGTGCGGTGCAGGCTTTGTGTCTATGCTTTCTCACGCCCCTTGGGTTGGACATGCCCTAGGTTTATGTTGAAGGTATTAATAAATGTGGCCCAAGTTCAACCCATATAATGTGTCCCATCTCTTTATTCATGGGTCTGGTTGCAACTTTTTGTTCTACAGGCGACTCCCAATTTATGCAGGGGTTATGTTCCAAGGCACCGTACGTTTTCAGGCATGGCCAGACTTGGCCCTCCAGATGTTTGGGGACTGCAGTTCCCATCATCCCTGACCACTGGCCCTGTTAGCTAGAGATGATGGGAGTTGTGGTCCCAAAACATCTGGAAGGCCATGTTTGGCCATGCCTGGTTTAAGTGAAATTGAATATATTTAAAACACCACTGAAAGAGCCTTCAAACACCTTGTTCCAGGCCCCATTCTGCCCCTTTCTGTGACGTTTTTGAGTCACTTCCAGGCTGCGCGCAATGTGCATATGCTAAAATGGCCGGTGCCTGTACAGGCAAAAGAGCTCAGAATAACCTAAGGGGCCCATCAGCAGAAGCCCTGTGCAAGGACTTCCACTTATGCAACAGGGCTTCACCCCTCTCCTCCCCCCATGTGCCCCCAAACCCCAAAATTCTCTCTAGGGAGGATGAGGAGAACCCCCAGAACACCATGTGAAGGGGGAGAAGGGAGAGTTCACTGGCAAGCTGAAATTCTTGTGCAGATGGAATATCCATAATAGCGCCAAGTTGAATTCCGCCCAAGGGATTTAGTAGTGATTCTGCTTCCACCCAGCAGGTATAACTCAACCCTAGGACCATACTGTGACGCTGCTCCTAGGAAAGCCCTTGTCATCTTTAGACATCATGTTGTATGCCAACAGTTCAAGAGGCCAGCTCTCAACACATTGTGCTCTGCGTCCGGAAAGTTGGTGTTTCCAGAAGACACGGAACTTTCTGCTTTGAGAGTTCATTGACACTTCTCCTACCCTGTTATGCTGTCCCTCTGCTCCTGTGTGATCTCCAATATAGTGAAACAATAATATATCACTAGAGCTGACCCTTTGGCCTTTATGAATTATCTGTTTTAGAAAGATGTGAAACCACCTTTTATATCCCACATAATAGATATTTAGACATTGTGGATCAATACTGAACAAGTTTGCTACTTATAGCTAATAGGTGCCAAAGGGGCATTCTGACACTGACCTCTGACTCTTTGGCTGACAAGAAATCTATAGAGAGTGAGGACAAGGGGGAGGAATAGGTAAGGCATCCAGTTTTTAAAGTTTATGACTATAGATCTATACCAAACAACAGCTGTTGCTATTAGAGGGTTGGTTCCCCCCCCCCCAATATTTTAGAGGCTAAATTCCACCCCACCCCAAACCCTTTAATGCCAACCAATGCAAAATTAATAACTGGCCTGGCCTGACCCTTTGAAAACAAGCACTGTGTTGCATGACACATTTTCCCATTTGTTACTCGTGTGATATTGCTGCACTGTCAACAAAGACTCTCTCCATTATAAAACAGGCTGTCATTTGTAATTGCGCCAATGCCCAAGCAAGGATATCTCTGGGAGGTAACGCAGACGCCTTGCTCCTTGGAGGAAGAAACAGAGTGGATTTATTTCAAGGAAAGTTCAATTTTAGAATATGTGTGTGTTGAAAAAAATAACCTATAAAAGACACCAAAACATTTTTAATACCAGCTTCACTTCAAAGTTATTATTTCATCTTGAATGAAATTAATGTAAGATGTAATTCAATTCATCAACAATATCATTGATTGTATTGGTAATATTGATAACATAAAAGCGTATTACTTGCTCATAGTCTTTTTAATGAATCAGGGAGTGCTGTCACGGGACAGGCTTAACTTTTAAAACTCTGCCCTAGAAATCAATACAATCTACAGAATTTATTTGGTTTGGAAATCAACTATGTTACGTCTGGCTAAAATGCACTCTGAATTTAGGAGGAGATGTTAAGTGTGGGGAGGGAAACAATGACTTCTCTTTCACAGTGTTTAGCAAACTTTCAAACACAAAACAATGTCCATACTGTATTATCATGTCACACTTCAGTAGCATTGCGCTGACGTCTCAGTGGTGTTCCTGCTGTTAAGTACCATTGAAAACACATTTGTCCCAACTGTTCTTTTCTTTTAGCCCCCTCTCATCTTAGCCAAGATGAATCACTGGTAGACCTACACTGACTCAGAGGGCAGAGCCAGGTCTCAAAATGGCAACCTACCTCCTATGGCTCAAGTATTTTAATTAATTTCAACACTAACGCACAAACGAGAGCTAATCACTGTGCCACAGAGCTCTCTAATTTACCAGGGTTATTCATTAAAACTTTCCCTACTGAACTCTGACTGAGTGTCATGCTTTTGAAAACAGCTGTAAGGCTATTGCAGCTCCTGCTGTTTCCTTTTGCTTAAACAGATATCTTGGGCAACTGCTGAAGAACATGCTCATATTTGCTTTGTATGGAAAAACGAATATTGTTGGTATGTGATAGTTTTATGTTGTAAAAATTAAATAATGATGATGATGTTGATTATGACGATGATGTGAATGATAGTGAGTTTTAAACAATCTCGAGGGATAGCTCAATTGTTAGAGCATGAGACTCTCACTCTCTTAATCTCAGGGCTGTGGGTTTGAGCCCCACACGGGGCAAAAAGATTCCTGCACTGCAGACTTAGATGATCCTGGTGGCCCCTTACAACTCTACAGTTCTGATTCTATGATTCTTAGGACAGCTCAGCACTAGGCTTTTTTAATTCAAGAAACACACACAACAGAAAAATTAAAAGCATAATGTTTCTGTCCAAACATGCTACAAGTCCAGTTGAGAGATCTTGGCCCACAGTCTAAAGGTAAAAGGTAAAGCACTCCTGGACACTTAAGTCCAGTCAAAGGTGACTATGGGGTTGTGGCACTCATCTCGCTTTCAGGCCGAGGGAACCGGTGTTTATCCACAGACAACTTTCCGGATCATGTGGCCAGCATGACTAAACTGCTTCTGGCACAACAGGACACCGTGATGAGTGCCAGAGTGCACAGAAATGCTGTTTACCTTCCCACCACAACAGTACCTATTTATCTACTTGCATTGGCATGCTTTCGAACTACTAGGTTGGCAGGAGCTGGGACAGAGCAACAACAGCTCACCCCATCATGGGGATTTGAACTGCCAACCTTCTGATTGGCAAGCCCAAGAGGCTCAGTGGTTTAGACCACAGCGCCACCCGCGTCCCTGCCCCACAGTCTAAAGATCTATGTGCACAGCAGTATACGATGAGCTCTGTTGGATGAGACCAAAAGTCCATTTAGTATGCCCTTATAATTTCTACAGTGGTCAACCAAATGCTAATGTCGGAAACCGGGTGAAGGAGCAGATGAGCCTTGGTCTGATTCAATGTATATATTTTCAAAGCAGATTTAATGTCAATGTCTATATAAAAACATATCAATAGACATTCCGCACTACTAGATCCACCATTGCTGATCATCTGTTGGGGAAGGTGGATGGACAAGTTGAGTTGGTTATCCATTGTAACGGATCTCATACCATCAACCATCTCTTAAGGCAAAAGAATGCAACCTATATAGAGAATATAAGACACTGGAGAGATGGATATCACCCTGTCCTGGCAAGGTCTTTTAAAAGGTAGGTAGGGAAATCCAGAAGGGTAATCAGTGTGCGCAGAAGCCTGTTTTTGCAGAAGGGTCACTCTGGACCAGATCAGGGTGTGGGTGTGTTTTTATCTGCATGTAATATGCAGACACACATAAACTAAAGCTGAATGTTATGCGTCTTAGAGAATATATTTGCAATGTGTTTGTTCACCCAATTATTTTTTGAATCAATATTGCAGGGGGAAAGTTAGATACACAATTTAGTTTATTAATTGCTATAACTAAAAACTGAAATGTATTGTTTCAAGCGGAATTCTTTGCTTCAAATTAACTCAAGCAAAGTGCAATCTTTATCTCTGTGATTAATGTGACTGAATATTAGGTAACCAAATACCTCACAATTTCAATTTCTTTAATGAAGTCTGCAATCAAACAGGCCTGATATGCAATCATGTATTTAATTGGAATTTTTTTTCTTTGATTATTTTAAATTGCTGCAATCTACCAGCTACTAAACAAAAGCTTCTTAGACTATTTTCTGTTTTGTTTTAGAAATCCCATAAATTAGGTTGTTTTGTACATTATGTGTTTGGAGTATTGATTTATACATGTACATATATATATGAAAGTACAATTCTGTATAACCAAGTATGTGACTCTAATCACTTCTAGATACTTCTTCAGTTTGAAAAAGCATAAAAGAACTATAGAAGAACTGTAGAAGAACTATAAAAGGAGCAATTATCCATGCTATTTTCTTTATGTCTTTATAAAACTCACATTGTCTACTAAGGGTTGCATCCAATGAAGTCCTTGCATGAGTGGAACGACTTCCAGTAAGTCAATGAAACTTGCCCTTCCACTCTTCCTTCTGTCTGACACACACAATCCCATCCGCTCCAGAGAGTTGGGGGAAACCTGCAGAGCAGATTTGTTTTTTGTTTTTTATAAATGATATTTATTAAAGATACATGAAAGTACGGAATAAAGAAAAAGTATAAAGTTTTAAGATATAACAAAAACAGTAAAAAATAAGAAAAAGGAAAAAAAAAACATACAAAATGAAACAGTTAAAAACACAATAATGTTCCATAGCCTATCTTCCTTACTCTTATTTCCCTGGACCTCCTCATACCTCCCTTCTTTGTATTCCAATTCAATTTGTTGGTTCAGCAAATCCTTACCATTAATCTTTTACCCAATTGTTAACCTTTTTTCCATGTCTCTTAAAGCATTACAGCTAAAACCTCTTAGTTTCTATCCAACATCCTTCTAAAGTTCCTTAATTTTGCAATATTTCTGTAAATAGTCCTTAAATTTCTTCCAGTCTTCTTTCACCGACTCTTCTCCCTGGTCTCGGATTCTGCCAGTCATTTCCGCCAGTTCCATGTAGTCAATCACCTTCATCTGCCATTCTTCCAAAGTGGGTAGATCTTGTGTCTTCCAATACTTTGCGATAAGTATTCTTGCTGCTGTTGTAGCATACATGAAAAAGGTTCTGTCCTTCTTTGGCACCAGTTGGCCGACAATGCCCAAGAGAAAGGCCTCTGGTTTCTTCAGAAAGGTATATTTAAATACCTTTTTCAGTTCATTATATATCATTTCCCAGAAAGCCTTAATCTTTGGGCACGTCCACCAAAGGTGAAAGAATGTACCTTCAGTTTCTTTACATTTCCAACATTTATTATCGGGCAAATGATAAATTTTTGCAAGCTTGACTGGGGTCATGTACCACCTGTATATCATTTTCATAATATTCTCTCTTAAGGCATTACATGCCGTAAACTTCATACCTGTGGTCCATAACTGTTCCCAGTCAGCGAACATAATATTATGTCCAACATCTTGTGCCCATTTAATCATAGCAGATTTCACCGTTTCATCCTGAGTATTCCATTTCAACAGCAAGTTATACATTCTTGACAAATTTTTAGTTTTGGGTTCTAACAATTCTGTTTCTAATTTTGACTTTTCCACTTGGAAGCCTATTTTCTTATCCAAATTATATGCCTCCATTATCTGATAGTAGTGGAGCCAATCTCACCTGCAGAGCAGATTTGAAGGGTGGGCTGCAGAAGCACACTATGGAGAGGGAGAGGAAGTTCTGTTGCACGAGGGGAAGGACTTCACTGGTTACAACCCACTGGCTTTCCTCTAGCACAGATATGCCAACTCCAGACTGAAAAGAAACAGACTTGTCCAGACAGGGTGGGATTTAACTAATAAACCCTATTCAGCAGAAGCCTTGCACAACAGGGCTTCCCATGCCCATCTCCTCCTTCTGTGTGCCCTCCAGAATTGACACAGGGGGGTCAGCAAAACCCCAGAACAGCATTGGGAGAGAAGAGGGTGCATCTTTCAGCCTGGCAAACTGAAATGCTTGCACAGGTGTACTGTTCGTAATAGTGTGACATGGAATTATACCCATAACCATGTATTACTACTTTTTTTTAGTACCTGGTGTGAGACTCCATCTCTCATTAACCTGGCCTCTTGAATGCATTTGAAGTGGAACTCAGCTACTTCTGCAGGTGTGGGGAACTTTTGCCTCCACAGATTTTGCGGAACTACAACTCCCATCAGCCTTAGCAAGAATGGGCAATGCCCAGGGATGATAGGAGTTGTAGTGCAGCAACATCTGGAGGACTAAAGGTTCTCTACACCTGCACTACTGAATATCAGGTTTGACTATGTCATGAGGTTTATTTCAATCTTTGTTTGAGCAAAATAATGTAAATATGTATTTTCAGTTCATTTTTAGTTAAACAAACATACGAAATGAAAGGGGAACTAAATTACAGTGCTAATCCCGGATAATTTGAATGCAAGCACACTTAATTCAGTGGGACTTACTTCTGAGTAAACAGGCATAGAACTAGGCTGTAAATCTCCCCCAAAACATTATTGGTTATTAGTCATTTAGTGAATTCTAGTCATTATTTAAATGTGGGAAAATTGACTAAAGAGTTATTAGGATAATATACTTAATTTAATTTAATAAAATTATTAAAAGCTTCTCCATTAACCTGCATTTGCTCATAATGCCAGAGGGGTGATTAGTCAGAATGGCATAGTATAGTACCTGCTATTCCTTTAAGAACCACTTTCAGCCAATTAAGACTTCCTAGAGTATCCGAAATTCTGGCATTCATAAAACACAGAATACATCGCATGCATGATTAAATGTTATTTAAACCTTGGATTATATCCACATGCATTGCTCATAGCCGGGAAGCATATTTGTCAATAAAACTGATCAGATATTTTATGAGACATTTCAAAACTATAATTAAGGAATAGTAAAATAGGCAAAGCAATATCTTTTATTGGACCAACTTCCGTTGTTGTTAGGAGCATACATGATTTCTAATTACCGTACCTAGAAATATTCATTGGGCAGAGGAATCTCTAAGGTCCAACACAGAAAGTTATAATTAACATTTTTTTTCTTGTTTGGTTGGTTCAAAGGGCAGATGATGTTCTCCCTCATATTGAAATGGCTCGATTGGACAATTTGCCTCTGGTGTAGCAGAAGGTCCAATGCACACACAAATTCTTCTGTTATTTAAATGGGAAGAGCTGACCTCTGCTTTTTGACACATGCTGATCTATTCCTATTATTGGGATATTGTGTACATCAAAACACACACAAGGCTTTTGATCCATTGATTTCATGTGACTGAAATATGGTTAAGTTCTCCAGGATCCAGGCTTCTGTGTCTGGGGTGGGTGAGGAAACAATACCTTCCACGTATTGGTGTAATTTCTCTTATTCTAAACTATGATTTCCCGTGCAAATCCTACACATGTGTACTCAGATGTCACCCCATTGAGTTCAGTGGGTCTTATTCTCTCCAGGTAAGGTGGTATAGGATAGCAGCCTTAGACTGCGGTCCTGAGCACACGTACTAGGGAGTCCCATTGAACTTAATAAGATTTACTTCTATGGAAACATGCTTAGAGCGCCACCCTTGACCCCTTAATTCTGAAAGAAAAAAACTATTAGGAAACCATACTCCAAATCCTGGGTAACTGGAAGTCCCTGTTGAAAAGGAATTGATTGCAAAAAGAAAATTAGCATTTTCATGGAAGAGAGGAACTTTCCATCCTCATAGTAATGGGAATTGTTCAATCTTCTGATTTAATTTTCAAAAGGATGACCTTTCTTTTCTGGCCAGAGGTTGCTGGACTCCAACTCCCATCAGCTCTCTCAGCATGGCCAATGGTCAGGGATGATGGGAACTGTAGTCCAACATCGTCTTCTATTCCCAGGATTTCAAAAGAAAAGACAGGAATCTAAAATGAAACACTGGAGATAAAACTACTGTACTGTGACATTAGGAACTTGTATTTAGAACTTACATAACTTGTTAGCAAAAAGGATTCTAAATACTTGATAATGATTTCTGATCTTATTTGTATATGCTGGGCTTAAGCCTGCCTAGAGACTCCTTCCTTCATCTGATAGTCTTGCCTCCCCATCGTTTGGTGACTGGCTGTTGTTACTCACTGGTGAAGAAAAGGCACTCTGTACATGCTTCAAGACATTATTAGTAATAATAGTTGTCTTGGGGCTTAGCTCTGAAAATGAAACCAGAAGACCAGACAATCCCTGTCTTTTATCAAGCCCCCAGAACATAGTCTAATGAACTGCAGCTCTGTTTTAACTTCCAACCTAATGAAAATGCAAGACCACTGTACTCCTTTTTAATGTTTCTCTCTGTATGGGTTTTGTTTTCCTCTGCTGGGGGAGGGGGATGCGGGATTGCAAGTGGGGCCTGGAACATCTCCCAGAAGCTGGGTAGAAAGTTTGTCACTGTGCATGGATGGCTTCTTTCCTTCTGAATGCCATTCCTGGCCTTGCCAGCACAATAATTGCCATTTAAGATGCAAAAGGAAAACAATTAAGAGAGGCACGAATGCCAAATATGTAAGAAGAGCTCTGGGAGAATTTCTCTGCACACAGACACCAGCAGAGGTTGCTGCTCACCTCATTAAAAATACATGCCAGCTAATAATTTAATTTACTGGGAGAAGTCAAAGGGGAAGTGAGAACCGCAATGTTCCCAAGAGATGGACACTTTGTTAGTTTATCTAGGCTACAGCGTATTCTTAAACTTATTTCTATCACAGGTTGAAAATAACGCGTTTCATCTCGTTCATCATAAAATCAGCTCAGTTGCATGAATAAAGCAATGTTGAATTGTGTTTAAAATGATCTTAGTTCTACTGTTAACAAAAAGCAGGACTGTATTTAACTATGCCCATAGACTTGTTTTGCATTGCCTCACCCAGTCAGAGTCATCTGAATTTTCTTACATGGACAGTACTCAAATGTTTCACTGAGTAAGAAAGTTCAGATGACCACAATTGGGTAATGCAATGCAAAACAAGTCTATGGGCATCGTTAAATAGAGAAGTTTTGGGCTATGAATTGGGATTTAAGATCAGCACCAGAAGTGTCCTCGCCCTTCTGGGATGAAAATTGTCAAACCTCAGTTAATCTTATGCCACTTGGAAATCTAGTAGCAGACAAGAGTTTTTAGGCTGAGATTCTATGCTACTAGATTTCCAGGTGGCATAAGATTAACTGAGACTTGATTCACATCACAATTTTCATACCAAAAGGGCAAGGACACTTCCAGTGCTAATCTAAATCCTAATCCAGAGCCCAAGATTTGTTTTTGTTTTGTTTTGTTTAATGAAATGTTACATTGAAAACACAACCCAAAAGAAGCATAAAAAGGACCCCTGATCATTAGGTCCAGTCGTGACCGACTCTGGGGTTGTGGCGCTCATCTCGCTTTATTGGCCGAGGGAGCTGGCGTATGGCTTCCGGGTCATGTGGCCAGCATGACTAAGCCACTTCTGGCGAACCAGAGCAGCACACAGAAACGCCGTTTACCTTCCCGCCGGAGTGGTACCTATTTATCTACTTGCACTTTGACGTGCTTTTGAACTGCTAGGTTGGCAGGATCAGGGACTGAACAACGGGAGCTCAGCCCATTGCGGGGATTCGAACCGCCGACCTTCTGATCGGCAAGTCCTAGGCTCTGTGGTTTAACCCACAGCACCACCCACGTCCCATATTGGAAGCATATTGCCACATTATTTGGCGATCATTTTATAGTCGTTATTTAATGAATTGCTTCTTTGGTTGACTCCGGGTACAAAAGCTGAGGCTGCTGAAGAGGCCAGAGGCCATCTTTGCTAAAGATCCACCCTGCTGGAAATTCTGAGCTGCACCCTTTACAGCTGGAGGAAGAGGAGAGGACAGAGGGTAAAGAGAGAGCTGTGAGTGGAAGGGGCTCCTTTCCCCATTCTTTGGCTCTGTTGTTGCTTCAATTTTCTTTGCAGTGCTTAGAGATATTATTTTTTAATATATTAAGTGGTATACGTAGAAATTAAATGGCACCAACCCTTTCATTAAAGCTAGTCAGTTCCCCAAAACCAGTTGGAATGATAAAGTCTTCACCTGCCACAGAAGGACAACAAGGTGGGAGCCACTGGGGGCAGCCACCAAGAAGGCCCTCAAGGGCAGTCAATCCAAGCTAACCCAAATGTAGTGGTCTTTGGTGTCTGCCTGTTCCCTCCGATGCAAAACAGTTATATATTGTTACTGGAACACACACAAACACTCACACATGCTAGCAGATAAATTCATTTGAAGTGAGGCCTTTAAAGACAGCCCTGTGAGTTGGTCTGCTAAGGTAGTAATGTTCAGTTCCCGGAACAGCAGTTCTAACATAATCCTGTATCCTCACTCTGATTCCTTGGTCTTCATCTTATTGCCCTGGCAGAGCTGCTAATCTGATGATTCCCTCACTCCCACCACAAAGTTGGGTCAACTGATCTGATTGTCTGAAAGCAAGCTGGGGGTTTTATTTACAATTAATCAGTGGATATTATTCAGTCTCGGCTCAGTATATGTAACTTGGCATTTGTTCATTCAAATCTGGACATTTTAACTCACACAAAGTGAAACGTGGACGTTACAAAGAGCTACTAATGATAAAATTAGTGCTTAGCTGTTAGACCAGAATCTTTTACTTTCTGTCACCTGGAATTCTTGAGGTGACTGCACCGAGATGATCCTCCAGTTCCATCTTCAATCCAGACAGAGGGCTAACAAAGGATATTGTCATACTCAATCACGGCATGTACCATTCCAGGCCTAGATTTTCTTTTTAAAGCACCGTTGTTTCCAAAAACTATTTTCATTTTCCACCACAATGTGTCACAAAGCCATGCCTTCTCATTTTGTCATGTCTCTGGGGGACGACATATCAGGTTTGTGATAAGACACATCTGCTTAGGTCATTTATGTTGCTTAAGATCCATCAACATGTCACAGTGTGGTTGAGTCGAAGGGACAGGAAACATTAAAGACTAGCCACCTCCTTTCTGTTAGGGAAATGTAAAGGTGGGCAGCAAATTCAGGGGCAAAGAAATTCCGTCTATCTTCAAAGAAAAGCTCTTTTGTTAGCCTTCCCTTGAGTGAAGGGTGCTTGATGGGTCCCTTCAGCAAGTAGTTAGTGAATATGTCAGTTTTGGTTTCTCTCATTTTTCCAATCATAAGTTCAGTTCTCCACATTTCCATGGCAGTTTGTGATATGTATATATATTTTAAAGTCTTCATGAAAATTCACCAGCATTTTAGTGCAAATTTCACCCAACAGAAATATACTTGCATGAAATTTTGCACCAATATAGACATTTCTGCAAAGCAGTTTTCTATAATGTGATACGTTTTTGTATGTGCTTTTCACTAATATACAGTGGTACCTCGGGTTACATACGCTTCAGGTTACAGACGCTTCAGATTACAGACTCCGCTAACCCAGAAATAGTACCTCGGGTTAAGAACCTTGCTTCAGGATGAGAACAGAAATCGTGCTTCGGCGGCGCAACAGCAGCGGGAGGCTCCATTAGCTAAAGTGGTGCTTCAGGTTAAGAACAGTTTCAGGTTAAGAACGGACCTCCAGAACGAATTAAGTACTTAACCCGAGGTACCACTGTACTCACATTTTACCTGAATATATGCATATTTATACCCATTACTTGGTTGAATAAATTAATTTCAAATAATGGTTGTGATTCAGTTCGCATTATGTTTCGGAAGGTGCAAATTAGGTAGATTTGCCTTTAAATGCAAATGGAATTGCATGTCTCCCCGATCTCTAGGTGTTCAGATTCCAGGATCCATGTCTGAATGCATTGGTTTTCCTTCTTTGGCTCTTCACGCTTCATCATTATTAAAATGAAGGTAATGCTTAGCTAGGACAAGAAGGATGAAGAGTGTTTGCAAAGCACTTTGAAAGTAAAAAGGAGCTAAGTGTTTTTATTCACTTTTTTTAAAAAAAAAACTTTTGTTTCATTTAAAAGAGAAAGAGATGGGGGGAAGCTGACAGTCCATAAAAAATTCAGGTGGAATGTTAATTCCCACAAAATGTCTTCAGTAATTGGATAGAATTTCTAGCAAGTGCTAGGTATTTAGGATAAAAAAATGTCTCCTGACTTTGGTATTATAATCCAGAAAACTCTCATTAGCTCTTCCGATGTATTTAAATATAATTTCTACCTCCCAAGTTTTTTAGGTGATGAAAAAAGATTAAAAAATGATCCCATAACAGTCTCCACAAGTATTTTACATTCACTGACCTTTCATGTAATTTGATAGGTTCCTTTGGATTTCTATTCCAAGAGTGTTGGGTAAGAACTTGATTTATAAACAGTATATGCACGCAGGCTTTTTATATACTTTGTTCACACCATCAGATTCTGTCTATCGTCACTTGCAGTCTATGTGCAATTCATTAAAGTACTTTGTTTTATGCAAATTGCCGTTCCTTTTTTTACATTTCTAAGTGTAAATGGAACTGTTAGGAAAGTATAAGGGGCTTTTCAGACAATGAAAATAAAGTATGCCATTTATAGCCCTTTAGAAAGCCTAGCACCATCAGCCTTGCTGCAGAGGTGGATAGCCTTGGTAGATGAGAAACAACTTGGCTAGAGGCTTGTGGCCACCATTTTGACTGGTGAATCCCAATGTATATATACTCCTCCTCCCTCCCATTGACAGCTACATAATCAGCAAAGCGTGTGAAAGCCAGGCCAGACTTCGCTTTAGAGGTCCAGTCCAGCCATACATGTAGAGCTGCCGCAGCAGTCATTCACATGGCCTATCTGAAATTGCATGGTTGATTCCCCAGAAAAATCAAGGAATTCTTGTCTATAGAATTTTGTCTATAGAATTCTTGTCACAAGACTTTTGTGGTTTCCCCTGTCCACATAGGCCTTCACCACATGGATGGTGGAAGTCATGGGCAACTAATTTATAGACCACTATTTACCGGTAATTGGATATTCCTTTGAATGGAAATGTGTTGGGAAGATGTCTGTTGTTTCCATTGACTTGGTTTGATTTATTATTTTAGACTCACAAAACAGCTTTGATGATTAAAAATAGTAAGGATTAAAATACAAATAAAAATGATCATCGTTTCACTGAGCAGTCAAAGATGGGAACTGATGTTTTAAGACACCTTTGCTACTTTTGGTGATGGTCAAGCTCAGTGGCAAAATCCAACAAATGCTGCCATATTGGTTTCCTGATCAGAACAGATTCTGAGCTGAGGGATTTGACAAGACTCCCAAGTATGTCCCACAGCGAGCAGCTCTTTGATCGAAACCAGGTGCTTTAGGATCACTCCAGCCAGAGGACTACTCGGTCACCTCCCATGTGTAATGTTCATGCATGAAATCCCACCCTGGAGATCTGCATTAATTAAATCTGGTGCAACCGCCAACAACTTCTGGTTCTGTCCTTGCAGCTAATAGTCCTGCCTCTCAAAATTGCAAGACATTCTGAAGAGCTTCCACAGCTTCTACCTGCTCCTGCCCCATTAACTAATATGGAGTATTTACTGCTGTTAGGAACATTGGAAACATCCTTATACTAACCATCGGTCCATCTTGCTCAGTATTTCCTACCTGTTAAGCAGCAGATTTCCAGTGTTTCAGTTAGGAGCCAGTGTGGTGTAGTGGTTAAGAGCAGTAGTCTCGTAATCTGGGGAACCGGGTTCACGTCTCCGCTCCTCCACATGCAGCTGCTGGGTGACCTTCGGCTAGTCACACTTCTTTGAAGTCTCTCAGCCCCACTCACCTCACAGAGTGTTTGTTGTGGGGGAGGAAGGGAAAGGAGAATGTTAGCCGCTTTGAGACTCCTTCGGGTAGTGATAAAGCGGGATATCAAATCCAAACTCCCCTTCCTCTTCTTCTTCTTCTTCTTCTTCTTCTTCTTCTTCTTCTTCTCCTTGGAGGCATTCCCATCCCTACCAGGAGATGTCAGGAAACCGGAGACCTTAAGCGTTCAAAGCAGATACTCTACCACTGAGCTATGGTCCTTTGGCTCCCTCAAACCCTTTCCCCTCCTGCAAAGAAGCCTATTTCTAATCCCATCTGTAGCAGTTAATAAAGTCTCTATAGTTTTTTTGTGGGGGCTTTTCTCTCTCTTTACCCTCAGTACCTGTTGGTAGTCCCCAAACTCCGCTGCCCCAGTGAACCTTTCCAATCTTCTCAGCAAAATGATGTTTTCCTTT